CCCTGCTTCGACCTCTAAAGAGAGCTGTGATTTCTCTGTGCTACAGAAGCAGAAGCTCTGTGACCTGGTGGCCATTCCCACAGGGAAGCTGTTCAGACCAAATGAAAAGCAAGTGGCTCAGCTGGAGAAGAAGGACTACCTGGGGAAGGCTACGGTAAGAAAGAAATACCTTAATTCTTCAGGCCACACCTGTGGGTTGAGGAGAGCTGCTGACCACCCTCTCACCACCCCTCTGGGCTGCTATCTGCTGCCTGGTGGGCAGCCAAAGATACGAAGCTGGTCCATGCCTCAGGGATCCACCCCTCCAGGCATGGAGGGAGGGATGGCACGTAGGGATCTTGTGGGGAATAGGGAGTCTCCAGGAATAGAGGAGCTGAAAGTGTATTTCCGCAGAGCATGGCCTATTTTCAGTTTCTCTGAACATGAGGGACAGACAGCAACGAGGTCCCACTGGAGCTTCAACTTAAGCCAAGATATTTTGGGGGGAGGGGAAGAGACTATTTAAAATCTGACACCCACAAACAACCTCCAGTTCTTCCTCTGCTCTGTTTGAAAGGGGCTTTTCAGCTCAGATAAGCAAGGCAGCTTTTCTGCCAGGAGTGTGCAAAATCTGAGCTCTGGTACATCAGTCTTGGGCTCAGGTCCTTCCTGGGAGGCACTGCTCCTCTGGAATGGGAACCCTTGGCTGTGTAGGCACCAGGGAACTTGACCAAGAACAAGGGCTCCTTGAGTGTCAGGGGATCCCAAAAAATTTACACACAAACATTTATGAACTTTCTAAATGATGCTCAAGGGCTTGAGTTGGACTCTTAGACTCCCTTCAACATTTCTGATTAAAATATAAATGGAAGCTTTTAGGTTATAATGGCTCTAACTGCAGTAATGATGGGGCTAAGAACTGCAAACTTACCACAGCTGAGGTGAGTTTTGATGCCTTGAAGCACGGAGCCTGTAGTCAAAGACACTTTGCCTAAAATCACAGACCTTCTTGAACCTGAAACATCCGAAGAGCTTGGCTTAAGCAACAGCAAAGGAGGAGGGTGGACAGATGTCTAAGAGAGTTCTACAAGCACCAAGTCACTACCTGTCTGTCTTTGACTCTAGGTGGTGGCATCCGTGGTGGACAAGGATGATTTTTCAGGATTTGCTCCACTCCAACCACAGGTAAGACACCACCAGTGAAGAGCATCCTCAGTGAAATCTCAGGAGGACATTGGGATGGGTATCAACCCACAGCTCGTGAGGTCTCCACCTCACAGCAGGGAGCAAACAGCAGCATTGCCACCGTGACCTTCCCATTACCGCCACAGGTGGGAGGCAGACACTGCCCTCACATCTCAGCTGCTTTCTCTGTCATCAGAGAGCACAGCCCAAACCCACCTACGCATCTGTGGCTGAGGTCAAACCAGCTCCCTGATCAATGCAGTCGTGGCCAGCCAGCATATCCTTTGCCCCGACTGTTGCTGCGGGGTGATGGCTTCCATCAGGGAGGGGTCTCAGACCCTCCCCATAAGATTCACCGGGTTCATCTCTCTCAGCTCAAGCCATCAGAGAAGCAAGAGCAGTTTCGCTTTCATTCTCCATCCTCCTCCCAGTTCCTGAAGCCCTTTCAGTCTTTGTTGCCATCTTCCTGATGATGTCGTGGCATCTTTCCATCTCTAAGGGCACAGAAGAGTTTTTACAGGAGCTTTTTGAGAGGCTAGAGGGAAGTGCAGCTGCTGCAGCCTACGGCGCCGTGACGCAAGATGAAAGGCACTCTTCTTATACAGCCAAGCGTTGGCACCTTCCTGCCGGAGTCAGGACTATTTCAAGTAGCTTCTTCAGAGGGTTGCTAAATCCACCAGAGACCTTAAACTACTCAGGCAGGAGAGACCATAAAGCACAACAGCAGCTGGGGATTTCGCAAGCGTAACAGGGAACACAACTTAGTTTATACCAGCTGATGCCAAATCTGTGATCTCAACCCTCTGCAAGCTGAAATGAAAATCACAAGTGAAAACAGGATTGTGCCTCTGAAAACCAACTGCAGGTGGAAGACTTTGGAAACCGCTCCTTTGAAGGAGCGAAGCCAACGATATTCCTCACAGCACTTAAGGTGGTTGCTTTACACATCAAGGTGGCAGAGTGCCAAAACCCTACTGCAGCTGGCTCCAAAGCAACAAAAAACTCCCTTTAGGTTGAAACCCTACGACCTGACACCAGCAGAGGGAGGAAGAAACCATGCAGGGGTGATGGCAGGCATGGCAGAAGGCCGCAGGACATTTCTGCAAGGCAACTGACGGGTCCCAGATTACTGATAATTTTCTTTTTGTCTTCTTGTTGGCAGGCCTCTGGTCCTCCACCCAGGCCCAAGACCCCAGAAATCCTCAGGTGAGTTGGATGAATGATAGGCAATGCTGCTAACCCCATGCAGCCAGGTCCAAGCCTGTCCTGCATCATTGCAGCTGAGTGTCCTGCCAGCACCCAAAACTTGGGGGAGAGAGGGAATGGATCATAGAAACAAGGAGACAGAGATCTGGGTTCCCCCTACAAAATAAAACAACGATGTTGCCCACCTTCCTGACCTGGCTGCTGCTCCCCGCCTCAGGGCCCTCGAAGGGCAGCCGCACCGCGTCTTGTACGAGTTCATCCCTGAAACCGCCGAGGAGCTGCAGGTCCTGCCAGGAAACATTGTCTTTGTACTGAAGAAAGAGAAGGACAACTGGGCTACGGTGATGTTCAACGGAAAGGTACCAGGAACGTGCTTGGCAGGAGGGGGGCAGATGATAGGGTGTACGCTGTGAGGTTCTGCAGAGGACTTGCAGGGCAGAACCTTGCTGTCAGCAATGAATGTCTGACTGAAGGCCCTTAAGTCCACCCTGGCTTAGGCTGCAGGGTTCAGGGAAACCCATCCAACCTGCAGCAACTAACCTTCAAGCTTCAGGGACTCTCCTGGATTCAGGGCAAGGTGGGGACAAGTTCAGTTGCGCCCTCCAGTAGTGGGTTGCCTCCTTGCCAAGCAATCCCCACTCACCTCTCCTTCCCCTGCAGAAAGGGATCGTCCCCTGCAACTTCCTCGAGCCCATGGAACTCCTGAACAAGCTGCATATCCAGGTAAGGAGGCCTAAGAAGACATGGTGTCCTGGGGAGGGCAGATCCCCACACATTCACCCACCACCTATTCTGGGCCCTCCAGCAGGACCCATACCTGCAACTCCCTCCCTCTCCCTTGTAATGCTGGGGTTGGCTCTTCTGGCTCATGGTCACCTTAACAGGAGCTTGGAGACCTGCAAAATCTGGGTGGATGGTGTGTTGATGGCCCGGCCTGGGTGGTGGTTGGCAACACCAGGGAGATAAGGGGTGGCAAAGTCACCCCTCCCTAGTTCAAAACCCCAAACAGACCCAGCAGGCTGGAGGGGGGGCTCTGTGGGGCAGCACCCCAGCTCCCATAGGAAGGATGAGATTGATAGCACCACCTTCTTCCCACCTGGCACAGGAAGAAACCCCTCTTGAAGCTGAGATCCCAGAGCCACCCAGCTCCCCTGCTCCAGAGAAGCCACGGCGGCCAGCACCAGGTCAGTGAGGGGGACCTCAAGGGACAGGGGTGCTTTAGGGGACAAAGTCCCTGGCACCAGCTCTGAGACTGTTTCCTCTCTGCCACGTCCTCACACTTTGAGGCCAAAGCTGAGGTTCATCTCTGTCTTGTTTCTGAGCCCCTTTGCAGTCAAGGATGGAGAGGCATTAAATCAGGAGGCAGAGATAGCAACTGCAAGGCTGAGGATGGAGTAAAATAGAGCACATGGGTCCCCGAGGAAAGCAAATCCCTCCATGCCCTTAATTAGCACAGCAACTAATGGGTAAAAGACATCACTGGGACTGAGCTGTGAGCTCCACACCGCCGCAGGAAAAACCCATTTTGGGTAGAAAATACCCTGCAGAGACTGTACCGCGTGGGTGTTAACCTGCTGCAGTTTATCCTGGCTACCAACAGCCAACCTGCCAAGAAAAAGAGGAATACATGGACAACTAGTTGCCAAGCCCCCTGCTCTGAGGTGGGCCTGAGCCAGTCAGCGGTGGGGAAAGGTGGACCAAAAGACTACTGATGACAGGAAAGGCTTGTGTCCCAAGCAGAGCCACCTCATAGGCAGTGCAGTAGTAAAGTTGACACAGAAGGTGGCTGTGGCCCAAGGGAGTTAAGGGCAAACAGCTCAGGGACCCAAAGAGCCTTGTTATGGCACCAAAAGCCATCACAGACCTAGCAGTGGGACTGCATTCAACAGTGTAGCTCTGTCTCTTCCCATAACAAGCACAATTGTGTTAAAGCTCTGACAAAATGTAGAGCAGATCCTTGTGAAGAGACTGCAACAAACCTGCATGAAATCCCCCTACCTGGAGCTCTGAATTTAGCTTTACAACCCTGATGGACAGGAATTGCTCTCAGTTTTCGGCAGGGACCTGGGGAGATCAGAAGAGCAAAGACACTAAAACCAGCAGCTCACGTTTTTTGAGAAGAGCAAAGACACTAAAACCAGCAGCTCATGTATTTTTTATGGATTTTTTTTGAATCCACCCAGGAAAGACATCCCACCCCTAAAGCCTCCATCCCTGCAAGAGGGAAGGCACAGAGCCCAAACCTCTGCTCAGTGATGAATGGATGAACCCCATCGCAGCTGATCCATTCAAGGGACCACCACTGACTCCAAGGTCGGTTGGTGTTGCTGCAGATAGACATAGGTGGTGAGGAAAAGGGCTGCAGAAGGAAGAGGGAAGGCACAGAGCCCAAACCTCTGCCCAGTGATTATATCTAAATCTTATGGATGAACCCCATTGCAGCTGATGCTGCATCCATTCAAGGGACCACCAACTCCAGGGTTGGTTGGTGTTGCTGCAGATAGACATAGTTGTTGAGGAAAAGGGTTGTTGAGGAAAAGGGCTGCAGGAGATCTGCATGTACATTTAGGCATAGAGCAGCAACTCTTACCCTGTCCCATTTGTTGAGCCACCTCTTTCTTCCTCCACAGACTACGCTCCTCCTCCTGCAACGCAGCCGAGAGATGCAGCAAAGGTAACATCTTGTGAATGTAGACCCCCAAGGTCCTGTTGGTGTTACAGGTCTGCATTCATTGCATGTTGAAAGGTGCTGGCACGCTCAGCAAGCAGCACGGCCCTGGAAGCATTTCAGGTTTTCATCATTCAGGAGCTTCTTCAAAGCATAACAACAGGGCTAGGGGTCAGCAGGTCATCAGAACCCAACCAGGTGACCAGGGCTGCTTTTCTAGGAGGAGTTCTCCAGGTCTGCTCCACAGTGGGCCTGGAGCTGTCAGCAGAGCCCTTGTATGACTCTTATCTTGGTTGACCTGGGGCATTCAAGAAGTAAAAAATAGGAGAGCTTGGCTGTAATGCACATGCTTCTGGGCAGGATCAGTGCATCAGGTGGTCACACTGGGGAGAGAGAGGGGAAAACACTGCATCAGGTGGTCACACTGGGGAGAGAGAGAGGAAAACACAACAATCCCAACCCCAAAAAAAAAAGAAAAAAAGAAAGTAAAAAAAAGAAAAAAAAGAAAAAAAAGAATGAGGGGATTGGAGGGTGGACACACCTCAAATTTGGTCACTTGAAAGCCTCAATTTGGTTGCTAAGTGCCCAATCTATCACTGCACTCTCTCCTGGGACAAGCCCAGGGCTGCCCACCAGCTGCACATCCAGCCATAGCTCGGGTGGGACAACTGCTGACCTGCCCCGAGGGAAGTACCAAAGGCTGCACATGCCAGCAGAGATGTCCCCCTGACCAGGAGCCAGCTGATGCTGGCAGCTCAGATTTGACTCGGGCAGCCACAATTTCCACACCCCGGTCCCTCTCCCTACCCTCACAGAGCCACACAAGCTCTGACATCTGGCTTACCATCCACAGGAGGCCGAAGGAGCCATCTCCAGCCCCCATGTCCTCAAGGTGCATTACAAGTACACGGTCGCCCTGCAAGTTGAGCCAGGCTCCTCCTACAAGGAGCTCCTGGACCTGGTTTGCAAGAAGCTGGAGCTGCAGCCCGAGCACACGGAGCTGAGGTGAGGCACTGCCCAACTGCAGGGGGCTGGAGCTGGGTTTTCAGGGCTCCCACCCTTACCCCACGTCCTCTGCACACCCAGCTACAAGCCTGGAGACAGCCAAGCGCTGGTGACTCTGAGCACGAAGAACCTGGAGGCAGCTTGGAGCCAGAGCAAGGACAACTGTCTGACAGTCTGGTGTGAAATCACAGAGGTCAGTGAGAGCTTGGCAGGGGCAGCCACCTCTTCTGCCCGCTCCTGGCAAGGAAACTAAGCAGATGTCACCTCTACTTTTCCTGCTGTGAGCGCAGGCTTATGGCTTTCAAAGCAAGCCAGCCTCTTGAAAGGCAGAGGAGCAAAGAGTGGGTGAAGAGGAGAAGCAGAGCTTTTGGTTTCTCCTTTTCCTTTGTCCCAGGGTAAGGGAGAGAAGCTTTGCTTACCAGCTTATTTCCTGCCCTAGGGAGAGGGTTTTTTACCAGACAGCAAGCCAGAGGAGCCACCACAAGAGGCAACACCAGAGGAGACGGGACCAAACCAAGTTGTAGCGCAGTACAATTATGAAGCCACCCAACCTGAAGACCTGGAGTTTCAGGCAGGAGATGTGATACTTGTTTTATCCAAAGGTAATTGTGCTGCTTCTGCAACAGGGGACACTGGACACATGTTCTTCAGTGGAGCCTAAAAGCTTCACTAAAGGTAATTGTGCTGCTTCTGCAACAGGGGAAGGGAGGGATATTGTGGGTTCCCAGCATCTGCCAGGCTACACTCTCAGGTATTTCATCAGACACCGGACACATGTTCTTCAGTGGAGTCTAAAAGCTTCACAGGGGACTCTGATCTCTTTTCCCAAACTCTCCAGTCCTCCAAAGCAAACTGGTTCATACCGGGGACCTGCAGAGCCAACAGCCTGGCTCAGGCAGCCTTCACTGACAGCAAACTTCTGCAAGTTGCAGTTTGCCACCTTGAGATGGAGAGCAGGCTGCTCAGATTTCTGCCTCAGGGCTGTTCTGAGAAAGCTTGCATAGAATGCTCTTCACACAACAGGTTAGAAAAGCAGCTTGCAGAGATTGCATGAGCATCAGGTGGAAGCCAGGGGAAAGGACAACCTAAGAACACATATCCCATCACTAAGACCTGTGTCACCAAGCTTCCACAGTTTCCAGGTTCACAGGGCAAATTTGCTCCATCCTCATGAAGGAAAAAAAAATAATTAAATAAAATCTTCAACCTACTGAGGTGATTCCAGCCTCTGCTTTGCATGCTCCTGATGAAGGACTGGGTTTTCAACTTACCAGCCAATCTTCTGGAGCCACAAGACAAGCAGGACTTAAAAGTCTGCAAGATTGCTTTCTACAAGTGTGACCTTCCATGGTTGAACTAGATGATCTTAAAGTACCTTCCAACCCAAACAATTCTATGATTCCATCACAACTGCCTGGTGCTATAGCACAGGCAGAGCTCTTCCAGCCCCACCATGGGCTTCCCACCCAAGCCTCAGTGTCACACACACTTCCTCCAACATATTTTCATCACACCCCTGTTTGTGCAACCTCCCCTTCCTCGCAGTTTCAAGATGGGAGAGTTTCACTTGAGCTGTGTTTAATTTTACTGATCACAATTTATTTTTTAAAGGAGATGCCTCATTTTGGCCCCTGCACTATGCCCTACATCAGAAATGAAGGCAGTTACACACCACAATGCTACTTCTCCCATTCCTCTCACCTGGCACCTTTCTCTGCCTGGTTTTCTTTCTAAGGGTACAATTTTCCATTAGCCTCCTCAATCCTCTTTAATATTAGTCTTTAGCTTAAATACAAGACTAAATCTCAGCAAGACCTAGTACATGCCTTTGATGTAGATCCTTTCAAGCCTGTGCAGAACGCACAGCAGGGAGGACAGGGTTATTGTGCTCCAGCAAAAAGCTGCAGGTGAGTCCCCATCAGGTGAAGAATGAGGTAGAGACCCTGCACAAGGCACCTGTTTCCCTCCTCTGCTGAGCTTGAGTGAAACCAAGGCAACTTAAATTGTTTTAATGGCAAAAAAGTATGATACTCTTTGAGATGAACATGGAACAGCAGGTGAAACAACACTTTAGTTGGACAGTGCAAGGCCTCAGATAATTTCCTTGTTCTCCACACTCACTTTGTTTCCACTGTCTTGTATTCAAGGCACTTTCTGAGCCCCTTAGTTTCTATTTTGATCTACTTTTTCCACCTTGGTTGGCACTGTATGTTTTCTTACCTTACAAACTTTATTCTCTACCTCATTCCCTCTCAGCCCCTTTCCTCCTCATTCTTCTCTCCACCAGGCTTTAGCGCAGCTATTTAGCAGCAGAAAACCTTAAGATAGTGATCTTGGGCCTGTCTGTGGCACATGGAGATTATTATGCTCCTGTACATCCCTAGGGTGACAAACAAAAATTGTATCAATTTTATCTTCCAGTGAATGAAGACTGGTTAGAAGGCCAGTGCAATGGAAAGATCGGCATCTTCCCATCTGCTTTTGTTCAGAACTCTAACACCAAAGACCTGGAGATGTGATTTCAGAAGAGCTTAAAGATGTGGACATGGAAAGAAATTAAGAATTCAACTGCTACAATTAAGAAGTTTCCATATTAATCACTGCATTTGAAAATTGACTTAAAATATTATTGCTTTTTCTATTTTATTTTACCTTTTTCATCAGTACCTAGAGAACAATGCAGAAGTTGTTCATTGTTTTCCTGTTAGGAATACATTCAGTCCTAAAACCTGTGCTTACCAAGAGACTTGCTAGTTAATAGCTCTGTCCCACCTTCCCTACCCTTAGCAGACCTTTTATAGAGACAAGCCACCATCTGAGAAAACCCCAGAGAGAGTGGTCCCACCTGCATTTACAGCCCTGCCACCAGATCCAGAAGAAGAAATGGCATTCAGCAAACTGCACACCAGGAAAGGCTGAACTTCCAACAGCATTTACTTCCTTAAAACATTGCTGCTAAGCCCAAGAACTTAAACAAGAGATGCTGTGCAGCCTTGCCCTGCTCCAATGGACTTCAAAACCACGACGACTTTAAAAACACCCACCAATAAGAAAAAAATACATATTTTTTAACCTTTGGGACCCATATCTCAAAGCTTTCTCTTAGAGAGACAGAGCCTGGAACCTCAGCAGGTCACACAGCAGCAAAGTTGCTCCCTATACAGAAGCCTACACAACTTTGACAGCCTCTTCCCTATCCAAGAGGTTTGCTCCCCCACTGCCCCAGGCACTACTTTCACACAATTTCACCTTCCCTGGCTGCTGACAGCTGGTCCTACAGGCATTTTTAAATTATCTACACTGCCCCATCCTCAAAATATCCAAGCTGTAGATACAGCCAGCCACCTATAGCACTGGGAGTGCTTTGCTTTGCTTCAAAGAGGGTAAGGGCAGCAGTTTCCCCACTTTGTATCCCATTACGCAAGTTCTGGAGAACCTCACTCTCCCAATAACCCACATCTCATATTTATTTTTAAAAGGACTTATTCTAAAGCGTTGTTTGGATACAATAAACACCCATCATTTAAAAAAAAAACAGAATATCTCCATAGTTTTCTTTTACACATTTGTAAGTATGCTGTTTAGAAACAGCCTGCAAACAGCCAACATCCTAATTTACAGGCAGGTCAACGGCAGATGGATCTGTGTCCTCCAGCTCCCGCTGCCTCTGTTCTACCAGGTTCAAGTACTCCAGCCTGCAACCAAAGGAGAGCTTTGCAAACTACTCCTGTCCCCAATTTTTGGTTCAGTACGTAAAACACATTGAACACAGGCAACACAAAACCACAATCCAATTATCTGCACTGAGCCCAAGCCAGAATCTCTGTGATTTATTTAGTTCTCTTTCAAAGAGGGGGGGGGGGCCAAGCCAGAATCTCTGTGATTTATTTAGTTGTCTTTCAAAGAGGGGGGGGGGGAATCAACTTCAAACCTTCTTCTGACTTCTCCAGAAAAATAAAGCATTTTTAAAAGCCCGCAGCTGAGTTACATAGGAAATAAACGCAACACACAGACCTGGATGGAGAGAACATGGTTTAATTAAAGGCAAAGCTGATTTCAGCAGCTGCAGTTCTTGCACAGACAGACAAAAAACACAAAAAAAGCTTACGACACAAACCAGTTTCTGTTGGGGGGCCCCTTCCCTCGCTCCCCCAAGGTGTCGGAGGGCAGAAGGGAAGTCCCAGCCAAGAGTCGGACGCATTCCCCAGGCCAGATGCTCATGCACAAGTGGAATGGTGTGGCTGGGACCCTGGAACTGCCAGGAGTGAGATGGCCAACCTGGTTAGCTGGTCTCGGGTGCAAGAGTCAGTGACAGTTCAAAACACTGGAATGTGGCAGCTGCCTGGGTACACAGCTCAATACACAAACCGGGAGGGCTGGAGAGAAGTACAGAGAGGGGTTTGGTTCGTATTACCACTGAGTGGGAACTTCACTTTTTTGGACTTTTTAAAAGGAAACACAGCTTCGAAACGCAACAAGGAAAAGTTGATGTTGCTAAGGTGGAGATCACGGGGGAGCTGCTCGTACCCCCGGGGGGTACTGTGTCTCCTCCATCTTCCCTTTTTTTGTATTCTTTGGGGCTGCCCAGGCTCCAGTGTCACTTCGGCTCCTGCATGTGCTTTGCTCTGCAGCTGACACTTCCAGCTCAGAGAACCTGAATCGTCACACAAACCCCTACTGCTAAACACAGCAAATGGACATTGAGATTGTTTCCCTAACTTCCCTGGGAAACCTAACAAAAACGCTGTCCTTTATCTTTAACGAAGCTTCCAGTCTTCCTTCCCCCTAATAAATAGCAAATAAAACGTTCTCCTTTTCCCTTCTGCACCTTTTCATCTACGAACAGCACTATGCTTTCTTCCGTGTGTGGCTGACACACATGTGTCCATGGCTGCCTTGAGTTTCATTCTGGAACTGAAAGTTTGGGGCTGCAGCTGGGGGCGGGGGGCGCGGGGGGGACACGGGTTTCTGCAGAGCTGATGGGTGCCTGCTGGGGGGGTGCGTACGCTCCGCACTGTCCAGGCTGACTGTAGGTTTTTACCCAGCCCTGCTGGACCCCTGATTATTTTCTGTGAGATGTTGCACGTTGGTAATGAAACTACTAGCGTCCAGCGAAGATGGGAGTATGGAGAGAAGAAAAAAAAAAAAAAAAAAAACCAACCAAAAACCATTGAAAGCTTTCTACCTACCTATTAAAATGAGTCAGGCTGTGAATGCACAGACTAGCCTGCCCGTTGTGGGGCTAGCCACTATGCTACAGTAAAATGTACAGGAATCAAACATTAATTTAAAACCCCATAGCAGTTAACTTGCTTGTCCAGCAGAGTGCTGCAATGCCCCACGTCACCGATTATAGCTCAAACACCTACTGAAAGGAGGGCATTTCATGCTGGAGTCTCTAATCCACCCAGGGGCTGGACGAAGCCTTTGGGTGAAAGGTGAAGTGGTGTCAAGTGCCAGACTCTCCTTCATGAAACTCCTTCACTAGACCAGGAGATAGAGCCCCACCTCACCACCATCCACCTCTGACCGGAGCAGCAACTGGGGCTTTCATTGCTACACACTGACTACGAAGCACGTCTGTGTACGGAAGAATTCAGTGTGATCTTACTACTGAGATAGTAATAAAGATGTTTAGGAGTAATTTCAACTACATTCTCAGTCAGCAAAGCAATCATTAATGGATTCCTATTTTATCTCCCCAAAGAGAGGAAAAGGATTGAGAAGTTCTCATTGGCTTCTCCCATCTGCCCTTCATTCTCAGCTTTTTACTTCCCATGTGGCTGGGGACATGCACGATGGAGAAGGTGAGAGGCGGTGATATCGGGTCACTGAGTGAGACAAACAGCAGTTCCTCTCTCCCTCCAGAGGGCCCAGGGATGGGAGAGTTCCTGATGGTGTTTTCTTGCACTGCAGTCGTTTTGTGCACACTCAGTGGGTTGGTGGAGCACTTACGCCCTCCTGACAGCAAGGAACAGAAGAGAGGGCTGCCACCTAGCACAGGACTGTGTGGGCCAGTCCTGCAAACCCAACATGCCATGGTTTATGGAGCCTTCGTTTGCAAGGGTTGCCACCTCTTGTCTCAATGCGGCGGGTTCATGGTGCCTTGTCCACGCTGCTGCTTCTGTTTCTGCTGCATTAACAGCTGCTCCAGGGCTGAGGGTCCAGGGTGCATCATGGAACTGGACCAGATGGACTAAAAACAAAGAGCCAACACTAGCACCTCCTTGCGTTACACAGCCCCCCTCTTACAGATGAGAAGGCAGAGACAGTTTTCTATATTCTCCCCTCTTCCCTTATCACTCACTCATACCTGGCTTACCATGAAAGTTATTCAGACTTCAAAGAAGGTCTTTCTAAAGAGAGGCTCCCTGGAAGAAGCTTATCCTCCTCCAGAATCATCATTACCATAAGAATTCATCCCACATTAACGATTACTAATTTTAGACTAGTCAAAGCAAATGTTATAATTTCTTCCAGTTCTGCCAGCCTGGACTTGTTCCACAAAATATTCTAGAACAGCAAGAACTGGAAAACTCTGACATCTTCCAGCACTGGTCACACCTCCTACGTTGTCTTTAGACTAGTCAAAGCAAATGTTATAATTTCTTCCAGTTCTGCCAGCCTGGACTTGTTCCACAAAATATTCTAGAACAGCAAGAACTGGAAAACTCTGACATCTTCCAGCACTGGTCACACCTCCTACATTGTCTGTGTAAGTGAATCTACAGGAAAAACCTTCAGTTTCTGACACTGAACTCTGACTCCTGCAACAGGCTAGTGCTCATCACTGGATCTTCTGGCCCCACAGACAAGCATCCATTCCTGAACACAGTTTCAGTCAAACATACCTTCAGGCTTTCCATAAGCACAGCTGAGGAGTCCTCCATAGCAGGAGGCCCTTGGGCTGCCCAGGTGCCACTGGGAGCACTGGACTGGTGCCAGCTGCTCTCTGAAGACGACGATGTTGCTGGGAGATAGTCCAGACCAAACCCTCCCATTGCTAAAAAGGAAGACAGACAAGTTCAAAGGAACGTAGCAAAAACCACTGCAAAATAAAAGCCATCAGCTGGCTTCATGCAAGCCTGGAACCCAGCACTTGCCTGGCTTATCGGTTTTCCAGCGGTCTGCGACTCTCCTGTCTCTGTTGTCTGGAGTCCCAATGGGTCCAAAGTTGGAGAAGGGAACAGAATTGTGGTTATGGGTTGGAGGGGAGCTTGGCAAGCTGCTGGGATTGGAGGAGTGAGGAGACTGGCTGGCTGGTGTTGAGTGATCTGGTGATTACAAGGCAAGAGGAAAAAGGTCAACAGAAACAGCAGGAACCTCTCAATTTTGAATTTTTTAGTGCTGCTGCAAATTCTGCCATCACCCAGTTTTCTGCAATGCTGAAGGTCAGTTTTTATTCCCTCCATTACACGAGCATAATGCAAATTCCTAAGTTCTGAGTGAAAATTTTTGTGTGTAAGAGGAAAAAGGTCAACAGAAACAGCAGGAACCTCCCAATTTTGAATTTCTTAGTGCTGCTGCAAATTTTGCCATCACCCAGTTTTCTGCAATGCTGAAGGTCAGTTTTTATTCCCCTCCATTACAGGAGCATAATGCAAATTCCTAAGTTCCAAGTGGAAATTTTTGTGTGCATACAAGAACAGAATGACTGTGTTTAATGCATATATGTGCTTACCAGAAAAAAACAGAAACCAGAAAAATCTCAAGAGAGCTGGCTAGCCAAAGCGTGTTTTCCCCCATGTTTCTTGAAGAACTTTTCTCAATCTACAAAAAACCCCGTATCTGTCTCCAAGCTTGGCAAACCAATTAAAAAAATATTACCAAAACCCCCAAAACACTGTCCTATTTTTCTTCACACTTTTCGGTCAGTTTCTTTCTCTTTCAAATGTCTCAATTGTGAAATCCAGTTCTTCCTGCTTTTTCCAAAGAAACAACACTGAAAGTACACGGATGTTTGAGTTGAAGCCCTACTCCCAAATGCTTGTCAGGAATTTAAGTCAAAGATTTCAGGATTTAACACCACCTACAAATTTTATCCTGCTCA